TAATGCAATTGCTAATTAAAAAGAAAAAAAAAAACTTATAATTTGTATGTAAAGTAGATTGTTGTGCTTTCTAATGTGTGCATTTTTCTTAAAGTAATTTTTAGCACTAAAACATTGTAGAATTATTTTGTTACTTGATCATTTAAGTTCATTCTTATTTATCTCTCTTTCTTAGTTTGATGTGTTTTTGTCTTTTGGTTAGTCCTTTGGCATATTTTCTTTGTGAATTTTTTTATAATTTTTTCTTTTTTTTTCTTAATTTTATTTGTATTTGAATGTATAATTGAACCTGCAAATATTGAAGAGGTCAACTTGAGCTCACCAAATATTGATGATATACTCAATGAAGGCCTTCGAATTGGAACAGAATTCATTTGTGTAGATGATGCTTGGGATTGTTGGAAAAGATATGGCAAAAGGATAGGCTTTGGTGTTCGAAAAGATTATTCAAACAAGCGGAGAAAGGATGGAGTGGTTACAAATGCCGTATTCGTATGTTATAAAGAGGGATTTCATAAAGATGACAAAAGGATCAACGATAAATCCCGTCAACGCTTTCAGGTAAGAACTGGTTGCCAATCAAAGTTGAATGTAGCACTAAACACGATTTCTGGAAAATATATTGTTAAGGATTTTGTGGCGACTCATAATCATGAGCTTGAGTCAAGTGAAACCGTTCATATGTTGTAAGCATGTCTCAAGCATTTGCCATCAACATAACAAATGATTCTGGAATTACCGCTAAGGCAACTCAAGAGTTGTCGATTAGGGAGGCTGGTGGTAGAGAGCATATTGGATTTATTAAGGAAGGTCAAAAAACATATTTGAGAAATAGAAGAAAGAAAGAAAAAATGTTAGGTGAGTTTGGTAGTGTTATGAAGTATTTTGAGAGGAAAAAACAGTCGATGCTCATTTTCTTATGATTTTGAGTTTGATGATGGCAGCCTAGTGAGTAATATATTTTGGGTTGATGGTAAAATAAAAGTCGATTATGTTGATTTTGGGGATGTTATTACATTCGACACGACATACGGGACTAACAAAGAGTTGAGACTGTTGGAGTAGTATACCCGGCGTTCCAATCAGATTGGACGTATTCTACTTGTAAATACAATCTATTGGAATTATATTAAAT